CACAACTTATGTCCTTGAGAGGGGAGACAGAAAGGGATAAAGGAGCTGGAAGTTAAAAAAAAAAAAAAAACATAGTGGATGTGATCATAAATAAGGAGCATTCTCTAAGCGAGAGTGTGGTGATGGGAAGGTTTGGAATGCTGCAGAGTTTTGAGAGACTGCGGAGAGGTGGGAATATCTGGAAAGACGTGCTGCTGAGGCCTATTTGTTACCTTAACACCATCCCAGGGCGTTCTTGGCTTTGGGTTGCTTAGTGACTGCATTTAATTTTTTCCTTCTCTTCCTACATACTTACTGATGAGCCTCAGGGCTCATAATGATGAGAAAATAAAAATCGGAATCATGAGAAAAACAGGTTGTTTTTCTTTTGTATTTGCTAAGCACTAGGCTCATTCCTGTTTGTACACAGAAAGTGTAGCATCAAGAAGTACAAAAACAAGAGATACTATAATCCTCATTTTGGTTCATTTGAGTTGTTGAATTAGGGTATAATGGGATTTGCTTATATTCAACTCAGTGATAAATGTGACACCCTAAACCAGCTTGGAGCTTCCTTGTGTAAACAAAAGACCAGAGAAATTCTCATTAGGATGAACTGTATTTATTAAACATTATTAAGTTTTGAGGTAGATTTAGATTCTTTTCTTTAGATTGTAAAAACCCTTTACTTTTGCCTCTTTTCTGCTCCATTTTCTGTTGAATTCAATGCCACAGACACAAAAGTGCTCAATAAATAAACCCAGATTATGACAGAGCTGGCTATAAAAGCAAAATGGTACTCAAAATTGCCCAAGTAAGTTGGTTATAGTTAGATTTTTTTTTTAAAAGGCCATAGTGGCATCATTCAGTAGAATCCCCAGCTTCCCTTAAATGATGACAAAAAGTAGCCAGTGCTGTCTTTGTAATGCCTGTGAGTGTTTAGAATCAAAATGAATTAGGAGGTAAGGTCCAGGAGACTCAGTGGAAAGCTTTGTCATGACTGGATCGAGGGTAGCATAATTCTAAAACTTTTCCATGAAGAATCATATATAATCATATGATAAGCTTTTCTACCCTTCTCACCTGCATTAACTTGTTGTGTGAAATAACAAATTACCTTGTCCCAAGTGGCACATCTTAACTGACTTGGTGGGCTTTGCCAATGTCCCTTCCCTGAGAGTTGAACTTGAAAGTTTCATGAATGATGGCTGATCTGAGACTGACTCGTCACAACATTCCTTACGTAGCGTCAGTAACCCATAAAACCTCATCCTTTTAAAAAATGACCAATTTTGAACAGATTTGTGAGAAAGTGTCCTTTATTTCTGTAAAATCATATTACTGTGCATAGGGAGGGAGTTAGAAGAGAAACCATCCTGAAATATTAGAATCGCCATCTTTTTTGAAGGCTCAAACTAGAAATAATTATACCTCCCAGATTTAGGGACTCTTTGTTTTTGTAGAAATTTCATTTACACAGAGGAGGAAACCAGGTAGGATTTTTCCAAGTTGTGCTCAGGGATTGCTTGATGATGCCTCCAAAAGGCAGGAGCTTGGTTTAACGGCAATTTATGGCTGGATTTTCATAGCAAGCATAAAAGAGTTGAAGCAGCAAATGATTTATGAGTGTGCCTGATGGGTGGAGGAAGGGAGGGAGGTTGGGTTCTCTAGCAATCTGCAAACCCACCTGCCCGTACAAAACCATTTCTCTGTGTGCGAGGAATGACCGTATATATCTTTATTTTTAGTATTTTCAGATTCTGGCCTCCTTTATTGATTCACTTTTACCCCTAATCAGAATGTTTCTTGCAATTCTTCTGTCCTTGGATGTGCTTTGAAAACCAATTGAGAGTGAGAGAAAAATGAGTAAATGCTTCAATTACCAACAGTACATCAGCTCCACCCTTTCCACTCTTTGAAAAGAAATTTCACTTCTTAAATTCTCATCAGGTTATCTAGAGTCCTCTTAATACTTGGAGACCAGCCCTGGGCCTGTGTGGCATGCTTTAGCTCTTCCCATTACCTTTCACAATGATGCTTCTTTGTCCCTCAAACTCCATCGTATGCAAATTTATGCTAATGACTATGCGCAATGCAAATATTTCAATTTGGTATTTATAATAGAGAAACCACTGACCAGCAGACCTGAAATTGAAGCTTAGATCAGCTCTCAACTGTGAGACTTCATGTGCTTTACTTAAGCACCTCTGTAGAACTGGGATCCTAATAACTATCTTGCAGAACTAGGGTGAAAATTCAGTAGTTGAAAAGCTTGATAGTCTTTGAAACATCACACAGGCGTTAGGGATTAGCAGAAAGTGCTCTCTATCTATTCAAATTCTTTCTCCTCTTCTTTGTGCTAATGGATTTATGACTGGATCTAATCCAGGACTGTATTTTGCAGCCATCCTTGTGCCTAGGAGTGACCTAGGGAGAAATACGTACCATCTTTGTTTAGTTGTCTTGCAGTATGTCTCTGGTCTTGTATTTCAACATCTCCCCTTTCTGATGGACTTGGAGGGTTATTAGCAGAATGACTTAGCAGAATGACATTGGAGGCCAAGTATCATCAGCAGTTTCCTGAACTGAATCCTGTGAGGGGGGTGGAGGGGTCAGAGCTGTTAGCTGATCTAGAACACCTGCCCTTGGCCAGTGTGTGATAGATAGTGATAGATTTCTATTTTGTTTGAGCCTTTGCATTTTCAGGTCTTTTTGTAACTGCAGCTTAGCCTACCATAACTGATACCAGTATTGTTATTGAGTCCATGTTGCTAGAGATTCATAGAGTAATAGAACCGCAAGGAGCCCTAGAGGTCATCTCACAAATAAAAATAACGCTTGGAGAGGAAAGAATTTTTCTTTGGTCCCAAAACAAATTAGTTACAAAACTGGAATAAAATCCAATTTTCATTACAAAACTTTGCTTCTCTTTGGAGTGAGTAATACACATATGGGATCTAATACCTAAGAGATGGTTCATGCAAAACATATGGATAGATTCAGACAGTGCCCATGTAAAGTTTTCATAACCCCTTGTAGAAATGGCAAATTAGAGGGGTGGATGGAATTTTACCTAAGCTTTTGCACCAGGACTTTGCAAAACATAAACTTTGGGGCTTCTTTTATCAGCTGACCCTCCAAGTGCCAGAGGAAGTACCAGAAGCTCTTCTGGTTCTGTGTGAGCAGGGACTTTGGGGAACACGGCCAACCTGACAGTGGTACTGGGTGTGTTTTAGCCACAGCCACCCACCGAGAGCTGCTGTGCTCAAAAAGATGCATCTAAAATGGCTTCTCGAAACATACCCTAACAAGAGAGAGACAAGATTATGTTTTTAGCATTTGAACCAGAACACGCTCACTCTGCTTTAAAAGGTCTTGTGGGACTGAAGAAGCCCAGGGAAACAGGAGTTGCTGTTCTCATTAAAGGAGAGAGGTATTTTTATTCATTGTTTTTATTCACATCAGTTAATTTAACATGCCTTGAAGGGTCCTCTTCCAGGGTAGCAGTATTAAAGTAGCAGCTTACTCACTGATTATAAACAAACATTAGTCAAGTTTACTTACGAAAGTTGGTGCGTGGATAAAAACAAAAGCATTACCTCCTACCTGACAGATGGGATATGTCCCAAAGGTCTCTTCTGGCCTGGTGACAATATGCCATGTGAGAAACTTAGAACAGAATCCAAACTCTTTAACTGTGACTTGCAAATCTCTCCATGAGCTGGTCTGTACCTACTTCTCTCTGGTCTCAGGGGCTTCTGTCTTTGGCTTGCAGCTGCGATGCCCCGCCTGGTCTTTCTGTTCTGCCACCATGTAACAGGTTGCTGTTTCATGCTGGAGGGTTTCGTAGGTATCATTCACATGCCCACCTATTTGTCTTCTTGGGTCTCAACTTTAAATATCAACTCTTTAGAGATGTCTTCGCTGACCAGCTACCTTCCCATCATCAATAAAGATTACCAACTTAGTTATACATCTGCTTATTTCTTTTCTGCTGAACATTAGTTTCATCTACTAGACAGTAACTTAACTAGCTGATGACTCATTTTGACCATAAAAGGGGCAAAGTTCAATTTAGGGATAGTCTGATAGCTCCATATTAAGGCTGAGCCATAGCTCAGGTTGGGAGAAACCGAAACCAAGAGACTAGAAATGCAGAGTGGGTCTAGTGACCTGGATAGCATTACTTTGGGGTAGCAAACAAAATGGAGTGGACTCCCAAACAGAGGTTGATCTAGCAGGGAGAATTGAATAAAAAGACTAAGAAGGTCAAGGGCCTGAGAAGAAGCCAGTGAAGGTGAAACAGGGAAAGAGGCATCTTCTCAGAAGGGCTGATGGAGACTCATCCACTTCCAGCTCTTCAGTGAGCATCTCCATATTTCCTGGATAGCCATGCCCAAGACCATTCTCCACAACTCTGAGGGACCAGGGTGATCGGAGTGTGATCCCCTCTTGAGCTAGTGACTTTACCTCCCTCTAAAAGTGGTGCTCATGTTCCTTGGATCAGACAGCTGGAGAAGGGTTCTTTCCTCTCTTTTTACTCCTCCCTCGACCAGTTCTTAACTCTGCACAAATCCCAGCAGCAGGATGCTTTGCGACACAGCCCTGCTAGCTGGCTTCCCTAAGAGCAGTTTTGCACCTTTGATCTAGAAGCTGTTTATAAACCTTGAGCGGCCCTTCTACTTTCCCCAGATTCTCATAACCCTATGCCCCATTCATACATCAAAACCCTCTTCAAGTTTTGCTTCTTTTCACAAAAATTCCCCCTTGCCTTCTAGAAGGGGAACCCAGGAATCCTCCTGGTTTGTAGACTGCCCTCTAGTGCAGAATATTCTCGTCAGACCCTGCCTTTCTGTTGTTATAGTAACAGCAGATGTGCCTTCTGGAATGTTATGTTTCCTGAGAACAATGTTGGGAGGATCATAAGAGATATTTACTTAGTCCCAGCTCCATTTCAGATTTAAAATAAAAAAAAAAACCCTGCAGCCAGAACTGTATTTATTTTCCTGATTTCTCGACAGGGTGACAGAACCAGATCTTGGGAAGAAGGACATGCCTCATGATGGAATCTGATCTCTAGCATGTTCTACTTTACTGAAGAAAATATACTGCTAATAATTTAACTGCACTTCGATTATCAGGATAAGTTGTGCAATAAAATATGCAGATAGAATGGAAACTTCATAAGTGACAAATGATAAATGATATAAAGCAGTGGATAATTTTACTTAGCTTCGATTTTAATGTTTATCAAATGAACGAAGCAATGTATTTATATGCAGAAAGCCACATTATCATAAATATATTTGCTAAAACAGGAAGAATAAATTGCGGTTAAATTTAGTAACGTCTGATGTTATGGGTGAATGTTTATTTGTGATTAAATGTGAACAATTGCTCCTTTAAGGTAAAGGTCTGCGTATATGTGATTAATCAAATTGAAATGAAAGTACAGACAGCTCATGCCATGCCTAGTTATCAGAATGATTGATTTTAGTCTGTGCTTCTAGGTGAAAAAATATCTGTTAATAACCCCAGCAGCCAAACCCCTGATGTCCCTGATAGCTCAATGATTTGTGCACATTATGCATTATCGGGCTCATTTGCAGGTATAGGGTCTACACAATGATCCATTGGATCACAAAATTATAACACGAGAAAAATGACATCCAGATTTATGCAAGAGTTATGACTGCAAAGTGCATTTCATCAGTAAGAAGTTTAAAATTGCTGCTGTTGTAGCTGTCACCGGCATGTTATTTTCTTTGGTTTGTGTGTAGGCAAGACTGTCAAGGTTTTATCACACAAACTGGTGTTTTTGTGTGCCGTAGCTCCCTGCCTGCTGGTGACAGCCAGCCTCTGATCCGAGTTGTTATTAAGTCTTCAACTTTAAGATAGTACTTTACCAACTTGGTTGAATTACACTTGATCATAAATACCTTAATGTTTTACTGGGTATAAAAGGTGTAGAACAAAACAGAGAAACAGCTCCACAGTGAGTATTGGTGGATTACAGATGGTGACTGTTACTTGTCATTGCTGTAAAGAAAAGTGGTGTGAGACTCAGAGTTCTCAGCTAAGGGTGCTCTTGAAATGAAACACCAGGTTTCGCAGAAGACCTTGCATATAGAATTTGGGTGTCTTCTCCGTCCTGTCACCCATCATTTTCCAGACTCAGCCACTATATCATCCAATTGTCAAACACATTGGCCCCGCTCCCTCTGCCAAGGAAATTTGTTCTCTTTTATAGCTACCAGAAATTTGTCTCTGGATGCATGTCGATCCAAAACGTCTAAGGGAATTTATTTGGTACCAACTCTTTCAGATTAGTTTTTTTTTTTCCCCCTTTATACCCACAGTTGTATTTTGTTCCTTGCTCGAAAGAAACCAGGAGAAATGGACAGAGTCATAATGACAAATCGTGGCAGGAAAGCAGTGGATGTCTTTGATATGATGAAATATCATACCAAAGGCATTTTACCTTTATGGAAAGAAATGTAATGCTAATAATTTTCCTGTACTTTGATCATTAGGTTATATTAGAGGTAAAGTATAGTGGATGAATATAAGGAAAATGTCAAATGTTTCAAAGAATAGTATAGCTAAACCACAATGGATTCATTTATTTAACTTGCATTGTAATACTTATTAAATGAATGAAGGAATGTATTCAGAAATCCTTCCTTAGAAGGCTCTATGCAGTTTTGTCTGGCCCGCCATTGGCACTGTGTAAATAGGAGCCATTGTTATTGCTATTATTCCTATTATAAGCAAGAAAGGAATGTAGTTATAATATGCATATTTATCTGGTGAATAGCTGATAATGTGAGCCAGAGCAAGACCACCAGTGTGAAATGAGTGTTCTTGAAGAAACCCATGACCAAGGAGTCACACTTCCCAGGGACTGCTCGACTTGGCTTTTTAATAGTTGAAGCCAATCCTGACCTGAATCTCTGGGGCTACATTATCCAATGCAGTAGCCAATAGCCACACGTGGTATTAATATCCCCACCTGTACTGGAAAATACATTGTCATTGTTACTAAAGCACTCAGCCAGCAGAGCACGCTCAAAGGTTCCATTACCATCTCCTCTGACATTGCTTGTCTTTCAACCCCAGCCATTGTCTACACTTTAATTGACACACCTGAGCCTCCAATTCTTTGCCATTCTTGCCCATCTTTAACTACACACTGTATGTGAAGGCCCCAGATAGAATGGACCAATATCACACTTGTTTGTAGAATAAAAAGTGGCTTAAGAAAGTTTCAATTTGCAAAAGGTGAAGGGTTACACTGTAATATAGTCTATTAGGAGAATTCTTCTTAAAATTATTCTTAGGTTGGATATAATAATTGAGAAAATTGTAATATGAAGCACACTTAGGGCAAAAAGTCAGACAAAATGCAAAAACAGAATCATGATCTATAAAGACTAGTTTGTAAAGACCAGATTCTGGAAACAGTATTATTTAAATGTTTCACCTATGAGATGTCCTTAAAATCCCTTTGCTAATAAGAGAAATTGAGGGAGGAAAACATTGTCCTGCCATATTTCAATACCCTCAGAATATGCTCTACAAAAAAATTTTTTTTGAATTAATTAAAATTCAATAAAAATAAAGATTCAGTTACTTTCTCATAAGAGCCACATTCCAAAGTGCTCATTAGTCACACATGGCAAGTGGCTACCATATTGGACAACCAGAGAACGTTTCTATGAGAAAGAGTTGCATCGGGCAGCACCACTGTTAGTTAAACCCTGCAAAGATCTTAGAATTTGGAATCTAAAAGTCTACAAAATACAGGGGAAAAAAATGTAATTACATGAGCACCACAGGTGTTTGTAGAAAACATTAGTAAGGAATTAAAGAAGGACAAATTGTGCCCTGTTAAAAAGCATTTAACAATCTTTGTTTCTCT